ATATATTTAATTTAGTAGCCTTTACAATCAAATGTCTTTCTGCAGTTAAAAATCTCAAAGACAACATAATCCAGAAACTCTGTGTAATATCCATCTTTATCTTGATTAATTTTACATTACCTTTACTGTCTCTTTAAAGACATTACTTTTTAAAACTATTTCTTTATATAACTCTCTATATTCATTTTCTTCTCTCTTCAAAGCCTACATACATTTTTACACAGACTGTAAACCATTTAAAGTCTCATTACATCTGAATCTGCCTTATTGTGAATCTATTGCTTTAAACTGTATTGGCTAGTACTGAAGCTGAAGCCTTGGCTGGTGACTCTGCCCATTTCAGCTTCCCAATATGGTGGTGGTACATTTACCACCAGCTCTGGGAGCCATGTGCACCACTAATTCTTGGAAGCAGTGGGTCTAGGCCTTCATCAAAGCAGTGTGTAGTCCAGAAACCATTTTTGTCTGCACTAGCAAAAGCTATACCCACTATGCACCATGCTGCTGTGCAGCTTGGAGACGCCTCTGTGTGCAGTGGCAGGAATCCACAATGCTGCACTCAAGCCCACATGTCACCGCAAACATGCCATACCATAGCTCATGCCTCACATGAGAGACAAAAATAGACAGCTGCTTTTTGCTCCTTTTTAGAATTTTCTTTTTATAATTTTCTGTGGTTTTAGGTGGAAACTCTTGCTGTACATTGGGCAGCCAAATGTAGTTGGAAGTTTTCCTGTGTCCCAGCTGGCCAGCAATCAGGACAAATCTCTCCCACTCATGTCCCCCAAGTAAATACACAGAGGCTTATATTAATTATAACTGCTTGGCCATTAGCTTAGGCTTATTACTGACTAGTTCTTACACTTAAATTAAACCATATTTTAGTATGTTTAGCCATGTGGCTTGGTGCCTTTTCTCAGTTCTGCCTTGTCATCTTTCTTCCTCTGTGTCTGGCTGGTGAATCTCGACTCTGTCCTTCCTCTTTCCAGAATTCTCCTTATCTGCTTGCCTACCTATACTTCCTTCCTAGCTACTAGGCAATCAGAGTTTTATTTATCAACCAATCAGAGCAACACATATTCACAGCCTACAAAATAACATCCCACCACAAATATCTGGTGATTGGGGGTCAGCAATGTGAAAGATGTGCAAAGAATGTATTCCTTGTAGAGTTTATCCTGTTGGTATGCTGAAGCCTAATCCTACCTTCAGAAATATACTGAATGCCCAACTTCATTGCTGGGAGACATGCCTTGCTGAGAATAGGCTGACACAGTGTGTGTTGGGAACATAGCAGCTATTTGAAATTTAACATCCTCATGTTATTCAAAGTTCTGGCTACTGTGTTCCTGATTGTCTTAAAACAAAACATATCTCTTGTGATTTATCTAATGATAATTATATGATATGATGAACTACAAATGTTATCTCTTCTGCACACTCAAGAACTACTTATATCTTCCAGGTATTATAGAGGTTAATGGAGAATAGTGATTGGTGATAGTTTAACTAGGGTTTTCTCAGCACATCTTGGAGACACTCCTCTAGTACAAGAGGAGTGGAGTGCAGTGTTAAAGGTGCAGTATTATGGGAACTTTAACTGGAGTAACATGAACAAACCATGTTATACATTACATAAAGCACCAATGACAGAAAAAAAATACAATGCCACCCAAGTATGATGTGGTGAACCAGTGACTTTAATTTTGATTTCTAAACCAAAGCATTGATAAGTGGCTCCTTAATGAAGTCGGGGAAATTTTATATAGCTATACCACCAAACAAAACATGTACCTCTTTCTATTTCATCTTTCTTCTTTAGCAAGGAATAATACCAGCATGGGGCAAAGTATTGCAAAACCCTTCCATCATCCCTAATAAATTTTATGACTAGTCCTGTGAAAAAAATAGGCGGACATCGCAGCCACTGTAATTGAAATAGGGAAACCCTATCTGTATTTCATGTCATCCTCAGGGGATAGATTTCCACAACTTGCAGGCATTCCCAGCTCTTATAGATATTATGTCCCTGGGATGAAAGCAGCCAGTCACCAAAGCATAAATGGGATGTGGACAATTCTTTTTCCAAGCAGAATAATAAAGCCAAAGTTGTCTACATTCTTATGCCTAGAACCTGAACTTATTACCTCTGGTACCAGATAGTACTTAAGTTAAGGATCTTGGAGGAGTGTAGCACAAATCTTAGAAGGTCTTATTAATAAAAAAAAAAAACCAGAGCCAGCTATTGTGATGAATGCTGAAAGATCAGAGAAACAGAACAAGCCACAGCCACCTCACCTCGCTAATTCCTCAGCTGATCTTGTTTCCTCAAACTGGAAGCCTCTGAGTCCTCATCTGAATGGGTCTCAGCTGAACTGCTGCTAAAAGCCTAAAAGCTTAACAAGCCTCTATCTAGTTCCTGGTCCTCATGCCTTATATACCTTTCTAATTCCTGCCATCACTTCCTGAGATTAAAGGCATGTGTCACCATGACTGGCTGTTTCCAGTGTGACTGAACTCTCAGAAATCTGGAAGGATCTTCAGATTGTTAGGATTAACGGTGTGTATGCCATCATTTTCTGGCCTCTATGTCTGTCTAGTGGCTGTTCTGTTCTCTGAACCCAGATAAGTTTATTAGGGTGTACAATATATTTGGAGGAACACAATATCACCACATTTCCCCTTTTTTGTCTAAATAATAAAGGACGCTTATAACTAATAAAACAATGTTTATACAATATATACAGTCAAGAACTGCATTAACAATGTCTAATCTATTAACATTTGACAGATTCAGACAAAAACTCCATTATATAAATTAACAATGTCCAGTCCATTAACATTTGACAATTTTAGACAAAAAAAAGTCATTACTTATTTTATTTAAAACAAGTAGTTCCTTTTTGTAATCGATTCAATAACCTACCTTTTTTATCTTATCAGAGGAGGACTTAAGCCTGATGGTCTCAACATAAGAGTAACTTTTGAGAATGCAAACAGGTAGGCAAAGGGTCAGTCTCACAGAAACCAGTAAGAGGGAACAGAATAGGAAAATGTTGGTACTTGGGTGCTGTGAATCAAGACATTGTGACTAAAGTTGCAGAAGACCGTTGGAGCTTAGGGAGGAAAGAGAGCAGAGTCTGATCTGAGGCCTTAAGAAATATTTGACTTGAGTCTAAGGACCTACCTTGAGATTATAGCTTCTCATTGTAACAGCATAAATGAATCTTTTCTTAGACCATAGTGCTGATTTTGACTAATACGACTTTTGCATATTTGGGGTCTGCAATTGTTTCTCCTTGTGAAATGACATGCTGTGACAAGTGAATGCTTATTTTTTGGCTTGGAAAACACACAGGACAGGAAGAAAGCTGTGATGAATAGAGGGGGAAAACATTTTTTTTTTCCTAAAGACTTTTCAGAAGCCCCAGTACTTGGCAAAAGTCCTGCACTGAGGAACAAAGAGAAGTTCCTTTTGTGGTGAGCTGGTGACAGTACTGATGTGGCAAACCCATGACAGGAAGGACCTGCCTCCAGGCTGAAAACAGCCTGTCTGATGTTTCTGCAGAATATCGTTGGGCTGCCCCAGCACAAGCAATAATAATACAACAACTCACCATGGTCCCCATGCTCAGAATGCTGTTGTGTCTTGGTAAGATATGAAGAGGGAGAGTGGACACTCAAGTCTGTAAGAAACCCTACTCCAACATAGGTCTTATTGAATCTGGAAACTCCATGATATTGACCCTGTCTCTCAGACTGAAAAAATCTCTCAGAGTGGATTTTCTTTCAGGACTGAATGTGGGACAGAAGACTGCAGTCCTGGCAGGTGAGTGTTTCCATCCATACCAAGATTTTATTCTTCACTCTGGATACCAGACATTATTTTTGCTCTCCTCTTGGTCATCTCTTCACAATGTGGGATTTGTAAAGTTTATGGATAATGTTGTGATGCCCATTAGTGCCCTACTAAGACTTGGTGTCTGAGGGAGAATTGTACCAGGACTCAACCTTTGATTTCCTTGCAGGAACCCTCACAAAGCCCAAAATCTGGGCTGAGCCACACTCTGTGATTGCCTCAAATGCACCTGTTACTATTTGGTGTCAGGGGTCCTGGGAGGCCAAGGAGTACCATTTGCTTAAAGAGGGAAGCATGGATTTTTGGGACAGACAATACCCTCTGGAAAGCTTGGACAAGGCTAAGTTCTATATTGAACACATGACAATGGACTTTGCAGGGATATATAAGTGTTACTATAAGAGCCCTGCTGGCTGGTCAGAGCACAGTGACACCCTGGAACTTGTGCTAACAGGTGAGTGAAGAATCAGGGTTCCCACTCAGCACAGCTTCTGCACTCAGAAGGAGTTCAACTCTCCAGGGTACTTTTCTCAGCGCCCAATCCCGCAGTACAATGTGGGTAGCTTAAATTTGTTTCACTTCCCCTTGTATCCTAGGAGTCTATGCTAAACCAAGCCTGTCTGTTTTGCCCGGCCCTGCTGTGACCTCAGGAGAGACCATAACCATGCAGTGCAGCTCATCGCTGGGATTTGGCAGATTTATTCTGACCCAGGAAGGAAAGCACCACCTCCAATGGACCCTGGACTCACAGCAAAGTGCCAATAGGGAGTTTCAAGCTCATTTTGTTCTGGACCCTGTGACCACCATCCACAATGGTACATTCAGATGCTATGGCTATTTTAGGAACCGACCCCAGGTGTGGTCAAAATCAAGTGACTCTCTTCACCTCTTGGTCTCAGGTAAGAACCCCTGACACTACCTTTCTTAATGCAGAGTGTCACCCAGGGATCTGCTCTGAGAAGCGTTCTAACCTCAAAGTAAAATAATGAAACTCAAAAGTCCCAAAGACTTTCACACCTCATAGAGCACCAGCCTTAAGCAACCCCTGATGCAATTACTCCCCTCAGTGACTCATTGGAATTTAGCAGAAGCAGGAGGGCTTGAGAACAGACAGTATATTGAGTGATCAGACATTTTCTCTGTACTGCTTTGGTTTCTATTTTTGTGATACAACCCCATGATCTAAAGCAATATATGGAAGAAGGTTTTTTTTTCTAATAGTTTACAGGCCATCATGCGAATTAGAGGTAGGCACTCAAGGCAGGAACTGAAGCAGAGGCCATAATGGAACATGGCTTACAGGCTTACTCTCCAGTGTTTTTTCTCAGACTATTTTCTTATATTATCAAGGTCCAACTACCCAGAGTTAGAACCACCCACATTGGACTTGGCTGTCCACTCCCACTTCAACTATCAGGCAATCAATAAAATGCCTCCACACCCTTGCCTACAGGCCAATATGATGAAGGCATATTTTCAATTTGATTTGCCTCTTCCCAGATGACTCTAGCTTGTATTAAATTAGCAAAACCCAATGAGAACAGTCTCCAATGGCATCCTCAGTCCTTCATTTTCCTCTTGTCTATATTTCCTGAAATAAAGGGCACAGTCTCATGATAAGAGCTGGTCATCAAAGGCTTGTGGTAAAAAATGGTGCACAGACTCAATCAGGAAGTTTTGTGTCCCTCAGAGTCTCAATCCTTTCCTTACCTTCAGTGACATGCTTTATTAAGGCTTGGTTGACCTGAGCTGTGATCTTGACAGACAAACAGGAATCCAGAGGCACAAAATCTGATCTCCAACAAGGTGATAGCTAGTTGGAAGTACTTAAAATCCAGACTGATGTAGAAACTGTCAAGTGCTTGAAGTCCAAATACTCACTTCTCCATCTATCTCTGGCAGAATCCAAGGACCAGTCTCCCACCCACACTGAGAATGGTAGGTAGAGATCTCATGGGCAATGGGTACAGAAATAGTGGGATCATTGTGGGATGGTGAAGCTTCCTCTGAAGTTCATAAATTGAAAGTACTAGACCTACTCCCCACTTAGATAATCTGTTCCTCACATAGCCACGGCCTCAATATATCTCTCTACCTAGATCCCATACCCTTGTTAATGCCAACCTCTGATTCACTGGAGTCTTGAATTCCCTAATGGAGTTTCTTCCTAGCCTCTAGATTTCTGGACAGGTTTTATTGTATAGTGAAGGGAAATCAAGATGATCTTTTGTGATCCAAACTTGAGGAAAATCACCTTCTCTGAGTCTTTACCTTGATTTCTGCAAGTATAAAAGAAAGCATTGGCCCAGACCTTCAAATTATTTCCTGTGCTGTCCTTGGCTGTGACCTCCTGAATGAGCAGGAGTCTCATCCATCAGACACCAGTTTTTGAAAGACCATGTCCCCTCTGCCACAACAATGGTGGCACACTATACTACATTGGAAAAGATTTATATTTGGGGCTGGATATTCTGAAACTTTCTTTCTAGAACAAGTACCTCATTCTTTGTAGTAAGGACAAGACTGAAAGTCAGATGTTGGGTTCAAACCCCAGCTCTTTTAATCCTTCTGTCTGGTTAATGGAAACAATTCCATGCTGCATGATTGTGAGGACAGAGGCTCTGAGTGGGCTGGGCATACAATAGGTGCCTGGGTAAATAACATCTTTTCTTCATGCACCATGCCAACTGTGCCTAAGGATTGGGAAGGTACCAGAAGGTTCTGATTGGAGTCTTGGTCACCCTCCTCCTGCTTTTCTTCCTCCTTATTCTTCTCATCCTCTTCCGACATCAGTGTAAAGGCAAAGAGAAGAAGGCAGGTAAGTAGGGTAATAGTGATGGGTGTATGGATGTGGTGGGTAAATAAACCATGCAGCCTCCAGATCTGTGAAAATTTCAAATATTTTGTAGGGTTTTCCATCTCTGGCAGTATTTGTATACTTACATCATGTTTTTTACATTCCATTTCTTCCTATGAAATTTTCTATTGGTGGAGCCTTCCCATCCAGATAGCTTGTACTTTTTCAGTTCATGCAGACCAAAGGGAGACTAATTTGCAACTTCTTGAAGGGGATACAGACCCAACAGCCAGAGATAGAGTCCCTCAGAAGAGGTAACTCCTTTCCAGAGACCCAGACTCCCACCTGCCATAGACCTCACTGCTATCTGATAATCCCTGTCTCCTCAGATCCAGCCTAGATGCTGCCATCAAGGAAGAAAAGCAGTGTGAGAATAAGAGGTCCTTGGGGAGGGAAATGCTCTAAATGTCACCATCACAAGACTGATAGGAAGGGTCTGGGGTCAACACTTTGAGGGATTGAACTTTCACAATGAACCCAGAGATTTCAGCACACTCCCTGGTACTCTCTCTGCTTGTGGGACAAGGGCATGGATCGAGGAGACTGAGAGATTCCATAGCCAAGAGCTAACTCCTTTGTTCTAACCTGACAGATGCTTCTGTGATGGACCCACAACCTGAGGAGAGTGTAGAGCTGGAGAGTTGGGTGAGACTGCTGCCCCATTCACAGTGATAAGAGCTTATGGCCCAATTTAGTCTATCACTCCCTCATTGTGGTAGTATCAGTCACAGTTGATCCCTCCATTCTGGAAGAATTTGCCTCTATGAACTATGATCTCTTCTTCTTGGTTTCACTACGACTATGTGACCCTTTTCTCCTGTCTCATTTCTTGATGTGTGTCATCTGTCTGTTGCTTAGCATGTGTCTAAAGACTTGAAAGGACATATGAGTCACTGCGCCCTCATTTCTCAAGATCCTCCTATACTCATTCACCCTGCCATCCACAGAAAGCCTCTTTATTTTAAGCTTGAGAACAATTTTATTAGTGTTTAAAAGAAAAAACAACAACAAAGGTAACCTGTAAATCTCATCAGCTTCCTGGAGGAAAAAAAGAAAATAGAGAAGAGAAATGGAGTGAAAGCCATGTCTGAGGAGAGCCAGGATAAAGATCAGCTAAGTGATGTCTGGCAGCCACAAGGCAAGGAGGGAAGCTCTAGAGAAAGAGCAAGTAATTCCAAAGTGTTAGGAAATGTGTGCTTAGAACAGAAACACAAAGAAATAATGGAAGCATTATGCACTACCTCAGAAAAGTAGGCACATTTACAAAACTAAGGCTTACAGCACTATAAGCTACCACATACAGCATCTTCTTGTTATAGCTTTCCTTAAGGGCTGCAAACACATCAAGGAACAGAGTTCCTCATTCACTCCAAGCTCACCTCAAGGCTAAGAAATGAGATGTGTATAACTGAAGAACGATTGTGGTGTGGTGTGCTATTAGGAAAAGGGAAACAGAGAAAATGGATGTACTGTGAGGCACACAGAGCCAGTGTGAATCACAAGGGAAGACTTTTACTGGGTATATTCTGAGGAGATGCCAGAAGAGGTCCACACAGACACCTAATTAACCAGCAGAAAATACAGAAGGTTCCAAGGTCTTCAGACAGGAGGATGAAAATGTTGCTGGATCTGGGAAAACAGGAGTTAGTGTGAGGATAACAGGCCAGAATTATGGGAAGGACACTTGCAGATTCCCCAAGGTCTCAGGAAGCCTATGAAGACTCCATTAGTATTGATATGATGTGAATTAAATTTCTAAAGGCTCTCTATGTCTAAAGGAGATCCTGAATGGAACTAGGAGTCACTTTATCCATCTCATTGCCTCTTTG